TTTATGAAAAACCAGTAACATATTTCGGATTTTTGGGATATAAAGGGTATTCTATCAAAGTTAAGTAAAGAACTCACCTCTGTGTACAACGAAGCTTCCTTGCCAGGTGTGATAAGAGCATATGGTTCATTAGCCGCCATTCCTTAGAAGGATAAGTGGGACTTGTGATGCTATGTCACTCCGGTTTGACCTCCCTTTAGGTACTGTAGTGCCCTAGACTTGCTCCAGGGAATGTGCAATTAAGAGGAATCTCGTTGACCTTGCTCCGAGCACCACAAGCACTTACTGGATGGCCATTGGTAACCTATTACCCCCATTGGTTACCCTTGCCTGAGCTACCGTCATCGTGGTGGATCGGCTGAATATTTTCTGCGAACCCATTTCTAATTTAGTAAGTTGTTTGTTAAGGATATGAAAGGTATAGCTGAGTGACTAGTGTAAAAACGGAGACTAAACTATCTTTTCGAACCACCCGTCCCCCTTCCCCCCAAAACTGCGTTGAATTCGGGTCGCTGCGTTCAGACCACCATGTGAAGACCTGTCCTGTAAATAGGTGGCTCACTTTCATTGATCCGCACCTTCATCAGAAGTTTACAGGTCTCACCAAAATACAACCTGTTAAAACATGAACTAGCGGAAATGCGAATGCCCCTCCCAACAGAACAGCGCTCATTATTCCATTGTCGCTAAATAATGGATGGGAATGCGAACAAATTATGAAGATCCACATGTTTATTTTTGTTTATTTACAGCCGAATTCGGTTTAGGGTTTACTTACAACTGAATTCGATATAGGAAAAAAATAACATGCAGTGGACCCACGTTCTCTCGCACCAACCTAAATAGAGCATTTCGATGTTCTGATACGATCTACAGCCCTAAATTACGTCACAAGTCCACTTTGTAGTCTAAACAGAGCACATCCTAAGCTGAGGATCCTTAGGGGGATCATACTTGGTCGGTGGAGGGATGGTGGCCGTTTTGTCCATTTGAAAGAATGTTTTTGGTTTGTGAATCTTGGAGTATTTCTGTTTCAGGTGCGCGTAATAGTCCTCGCCCGCAAACGTACCCCACGCACCCGTACCCCACCCTCACCGCGCGATGGCAGTTTTTTTTGGGAGAAAGTGGAGAATTTCCAGAATGATAAGTCGGAAGAGTGGTAGGAAGTTGAGAAAATTTGGGGAAAATGGTAGGTTATTGAGGATGGAAAGGGAATCGTATCAGAGGAGTTTGTTTGGAGGGGGGGGGAAGGGGAGGCGGCGCTCCTCTACAAATATTAGGTCATCCCATTCAAACGTGCCGCTGGTTTTTTTTGAATAAAACAAAGAGGAGAATAGATAGAAAAGTGATATTTTAGCTTTAGGATGAGTAAATCCCTCCTTCACCAATGACCCGCTCCCAGTGCCCCGAGGGCCTTTGGACCTCTGGTACCTTCGATTTTTCAATAAGTGTGGGTAAATTGCTGTTGTTGCCAATTTCGGCAAATGACAAAACATTGTAGCGTCTGCCGTTGGAGAGTACTCTCAACTGAATAGAACAGTTGTAATCGCATGGCTTTATGACGGGCGAATGGGGCGATTGAACCCAGGTCTCAGTATTGTTGTGTCCCAGCACTGATCTACAATACAGTTACTCGGGGTCTGGTACTATGACGAGCAACGGTGGCCTTCTTGTAGTTGTGTGGTAGCATCCATTTGTCGATCTGAATGCCGAGGAACAGGCAATATGCACCGACAGTGACGGATTTGTTCTCTGTATAGAGCCGCTTGAAAGCCACAGTGTGGGAATCCTTTGCTATGATGATCATCCACTTGCGCCCACGTAACTCTTCATGGTAGAACTCGGGCGGCTTCTCATCTGCATTCATACAAAATTGACGATTGTGAGTTTCGGCTCGAGGTCCGAGACCACCCATATTTCATCTAAGGCCTGGGTGCGTTTTCACAGTTGTGAGTGACATCTCATGCTGAGAACATTACTGCTAGAGGTATAGAATCGGTACTGCGTTCGTGCTTCTATAAGAAAATTAGGTACCCATGCGCCACCCTCTTGACCATCCTCAGTTTATCGGACATAACTCGGGCAGCAGTTGCAGCTGGGATGTCAGACTCGCGGGGAAGCTCGACAAGGGTCCAGGCTCTGTGATCAGATATTCAGTGCCTGACTTCATCCACCCGTTTTTCTTGTGCAGGATGAATATTATGGGACCATCCACGACAACAAATTTTTTTCCTTTCTTCCTTGTACGGGCTCCTGAACCAAATCTTCCACCGTGTATTTCGAGAACACCCTTACACACAACTATGGTCCGGCGCAGGTCAAATTTGAGCGGCGCACTTTCCTCTTATGACGTCTGATTTGAAAAACCGGCGCCGATTTTCACCACTCGGGCTTCTTTTCAATTTCTCGAGAACTTCTTCAGAGGCTAGGTTCGCCAAATTTCACAGATACACAGCTTAAGGTACTAGCTTCCAAATGGTATAGTAGCCCGCTGCTCTATCCCCTTTGCTTTTCTGCCATTCCTCTATATGTAGCGGCACGTTTGAATGGGATGACCTAATATTTCCCCTAACAGCAGGGGGACCCCTGTTTGTATTCCAAAAAAGCTCGAGAGTTGTTAAATAATGCGCTTCAGGTGTCAAAGTGTCATCAAAGTGATTCTGCTATATGCTCAGCAATATTCATCACAAGCGACGTCGATGGAGATCGAACCAGCGAGGGCTCGGTAGTACGGGCGCTCACACGAACTGCGCTATTTGATCACCATCTCTGCGCCGCAAGAGGTGTTCATCTTCACGTGACTCTCTCAAATTCTTTTTTCGAAATAACCATTCACTCTTCATAAAATGATATTCTTCACAGAAAGCACAGATTTACAGCGCGTTACTTGCAGTTCGCTTATTCCTTCTAAGGAGCTGAAATGCGCCAGAAGCTGTTGAAGCCCTTCATGGCCGTGGCAGTTTCGCCAAAAACTTCGGGGCGTTACTGTATTTTACAGGTTCAATACTTAAAGAAATGAGGTTTATCGATTCATTTCACTAGATGACACACAGGATCAATGGAATTGAAAGCTTCATTGTTGCCTGTCTACCCATCAGGTGTCAATTTCACAATGGTTTTCCCAGCCAATTCACCATATGTACTTTTGCTAGCATCACCGGTCGCACTCACAGGGAAGTACTCGACTACCATTTCTTCTTGTGGTCCTCTACCTGGCTGAAAAAAGTGGCCATTCTAGAGAAGAATACGCGAGAAATGAAGTTCCCATGAGAAAATTCACTTGAAGAGGTAAACATCCTTACCTGTCGTACGATTTCGATGTCCACTGTACGGCCTATTTCAATGACACCCACCGCCTTTTCAGGAGCAACTGAGTATTTTGAGTTAGGAGCAAAAACTAACTGAAAAACCGTATGTTGGATAAAGTGAGCAGAATGCTAGGTAGGATCGGTTGGCTTAGGGGGGGGGGGGCAGTTTGCACGTGCCTTAGTTCATGTTAACTAACAGGTCTAACTCAGGCGAGACCTGTAAACGCTTGTGAATCCGCGAAGTTCCAGAAGGGACGCACTTTATTTACAGAAATCGACAAGTTTTCCCAGACTGACCTGTACACACTTGGCTAGGTGCCATTTCGTGTCCACACCGAGCCGAACTGCGGTCGCTAGGTTTTAACAACACCTCACAACCCAAAAACCCGGTGTAACTGGAATCGCGTTTTATCACGGGTGACATGAACCCCCTAGAATTCCCCAGAAGTCATTACTTGAATCGTCAAAATGCCTAATTGCGCAAATGTGTGTTGGATTTCCACCCTAAGTTCCAGAAGCGACGGTAGGCGGAGTTTGTGGGGACGATTTCCCTCCAATCGGATGTTCGTTGGCTTCCAAGCATCATCAGGTGAAGATCCAAATCTACTTTCTCCCGAAATCGGCGACAGTGATTCGCCTGCTCAGTGGGGGGAATCCGAGAAGTCACTACGAAATGTGGTTACTCGCTCGAAACTGGTTAACCTTGGCTAACAGTTACTATTTTTCATTGCTGCGGTTTCAATTTTGGTTCCAGCAAAAGAACACGAATCTAATGAACTCACCCTGTACGCAAGATTTCTAGCACAGTGATTAATGATTGTGTGTTTTGATGTACCACCACCCGCAGTGATGCGACATTTTGGAGGTTTAACGCTGACCTCGTAGCCCATATGAAGTAAGTAAAATAAAATGAAACCTATCTGGTGCGAGTATTTATACCAATGAGCCTTCAATTGTTTACGTTTCATTTCATGGCATGGAATCAAAAATGAAACCCAAAATGAACGAATATAGAAAACCTTATCATGAGTGGAAGTATTATCTTTTAGTACTACTGCGATTGGGGGATGAGCTGCGTTCATACCTTGCGATTCTAGAGGAGAGGAGATTCGTCGTGCTCATAGAATTGGCGTTTACCCCTGAAAAGCCTGGGAGACGGTCAAGACAATCGCAATGTCGCGCCGTCGCGCGGTGATAGCGTGCGGTTTTCTCAATCATCAGTCTGTTAATTTTGAGCAAAACAACAAGATTTCCATGATGACACGCCTTAGATATCTCAGAGATAGGAGCCGCGTGGGGCTGCGCCCTTCTTCGAGCTGCCTTTTTGGAGGATATTGTACTTGTTCAATGAGGCGGAGGTGGTGTAGTGACAAGTGGCGCGCTTACCACTCGCGCGGCGCCGGGTTCGAATCCCGGGTCGACTCCCGCCCAGGCCAACCAAGCCTTCTACCCTCCGGGGACGGTAAATTGGTACCAGATTCGTCTGGGATAAAACACTGACTTGTACATCGGCTGGCCACCGCAAGTCATTGTATAGGCCACATCGCATTCAATAAGCCACTACGATTCTGAATGGAAGTAGAATGCGTGCCGCATCCCACAAAGGGATTGATCAACGGCGAAGACTTTATCCTTTATCCTTTATTGCATTTATGGAACAGTTGCAACCATGCCGTTGTTCAGGAACAAGAAAGGGCACCACTTGTAACAGATGGTAATACCCCGCGAACAACGCATTCTACGCCATGTTCAAGTACAGTACGCAGCCACGCCTACTCCATCGCTGGGATGTGCAGCGTGCGAGATCGCAGATATTGGTTATTTTTGGATTATACAATGTCCTGCTGTGGAAGCCATGAACATCGTTCATGTGCCGGTGCGACGTCGCACGCGACGCCCACCAGCGCGGCGAGTTACGATTGTCTTGTTGCGTGCTGTAGTTAACTACCGATTGTTTGAGCTGCTCGCTGCTCCCGAACTGAGAACCGCCCATCCGCGCTCAGGGCCCCTACTGTACATAATCATTTGAACTTTTTTCTTTCAAAAACTTCGAATGGCCGAAACTCAGCAATCATCCAAGCTAGTGATGTTTAGGACAACCGAGCTGCTAGTCGCGTGCAAGCTACAGCGTGGCTGAGTACCACAATGTACCACAATATATCGCCTGTATAGGCTCTTTTAAGCAGCGTTCAGACTTCGCGACGGCAGCGCTTCGGTCGCGCGTTCGACACGATCGATGCAGTCAAAAGCATACGCATCGATCGCGTCGAACGCGCGACCGAAGCACTGCCATCGCAAAGTCTGAACGGTGCCTTGGAGCAATCAGCTTTATTCGCCCTCAGCTCTGACGCAACTCTTAAAAGGCGGGATGGCCGACTGTGTGCTGCAGCCTGCAGGTAGTCCAATTATAAATCAGGCAATACACTTGAATATCCAGTAGAAAAGGTCTACGGTAATGATTTTCGTTCTTTCCGCTCTCTTTTCCTTGAAGATCCCCACAGAAAATAAAGTAGTTCAAGGCTCGGTAACAGAGACACCACTGTCCTTTGTTAGGGGATCTGGGAATATTACACTCGAGAGACGCCATCATCAACATCCCGTCGTGAGCGGGCTCACTGTCGTGTTAGAATACCATATGGGTCGTTGTATGGCAGCTGCTCTTGGTTTCAAAAGCATTTTAACTTATTCATGGAATGGGGGTCTCATTAATAGCGATTATTCCGTTCGGGATCAAAAATCATTTCGGGAACAGTTCCTCCATGAAGAATGTGCTCTTTATATGGAATTAATTAGTTTCGCGGTACTGCAAAAAGAAGGAAAAGAGATGTTAAAGGAAATCCCTTATTTTTACGGTCAAACGCATTACACGCCTCAGTCGACCCATTGGATGGAAAGGCGGTATTGTGTTTCCTTTGGTTTTCAAAGTGACGTTCCCTTGATGCACCGTTTTTTTGTTTGGAGTTATTCGATTTATTGGGCACTACAGTGATACTGTCTTACCTAATTTTTCACAGCGGGTGGAATACCTTCCATACCATCCGAAAATTTGGATCCCAAAATCCCATTGTTCAGGGCGGACCATCATCTGCAGGTGATGAGCTTCTCACTGTCACCTATGCAAGAAAGAAAACCATTGCTTAAGCTTAACAAGAGAAAGCTTTAACGGCAACTGAGGCCTATTGCAAAGAGAGCAGCCATATCTAATCTTCGAACCCTAACGGGATCGCGCTCATTAGGGATAAGGGCGATCGGCGATAACGTGCCTTAATTATTAGGTGGTT